TCTCTCTCTCTCTCTCTCTACCCGGCCAGAGAGGGCGGTCCCCCCACCCGCTTGCGCGCACCTGCGGGTCCCGGCAGGATTTGACTTCCGACAGGGACATGGCCCGTGGGATCGACTCACGTTCAGCAGCGCAACAGCAAACAGCTCATAAAGGCCTTGGCAGCCTTGGCCGAAGTGCTAAAAAGAGTCACGATCCTCCCTGTTCATCCCAACAAAGCTCGAGGCCCCCGAAAAGTCAGTCACAGCCCCCACACGAACACGAAGACAATAACAGACACTGACAAAGTCTTAGGAACAAGGTATTTTCAGGGGTGAAGCCGCTGTTGTAGCGAGGGTATCGGTACAAAGCAACAGCGAAGTATGAAGCAGGATCACAGTATCCACTCACGGGCGTGTAGTCAGGACAACACAGTAGTTTAAGTGCACGGTCCCCCGATTTGGGGGGCGAGCTTGTGGTTGCTTGGGGCCCAAAGTATACTATTGCTCCTCATTTCCCCCCGGGAAGAACAGAAATCCACCGGAAAGCAGCTAGTCCACCTACAAGCACAGGGCTTTGGTTCCCCTTGGGGGGTGGGTCACTTGGAGCTTGAGCAAAGGAAAAACATGCCCCCCCCCCGGCTACTTCGAGCGCGCGCTGCAAAGTGTGATTGAACGGATCAAAGCGAACTATGCCCTCTACGTCCCCCCCAATTCGACTCTCTGTCAACGGAAAGATGGTCATTGACGGCGTGTTGAAAAGAGTCTAGGATTGGCGGCCAGGTTCGGGCCGCATTGTAGAGAAGTTTGCCCGAGTAGGCAGGGTGTCCCCTGCTTCTAAAGAGTTTACACCTGGTGCACAGACATGTTCAAGGATCTTGCACGGATTGTACACTCTCGCCTGTGATGGGAAGAGCAAAGCGACACAGATTAACACCCCCCAAAACCCAAGACAAGACTCTCAACAGCAAACAAACAACCCATGTAGCTTTCCCCCCGTAGTTGGGTGGGGTCACCCTGGCTGCCCCTTTCCGTGCAACAACTCATCGATCGGCTCGTGAAGTGTATAGCGGGAGGGAAGCACTGAACAGAATGCTTCGGGCTCCCACTCCGTCTCCCCTCCGCATAAGACTGGAGGCTGTAAGAAGCGGACTGTCGTGTGCGAAATACCTTGCCCGGTGGCAGGGAGAAATGAAAGCCGCGGAAAGGAAAGGAAAGCCACTTGCAGCCCAGAGGCACAGCTGCAGAAGAACTCTGGCTCGTAAAGGGCGTTCTTGCGGAACCTGTCACTCAGAAGCCTGATATGTCAAATGGAGAAAAGTGAGGCCAAGCTCCAGCACCTGGACGCCAGCACATCCAGGCGAACGGGAAATCCGAGAGTGGCCTCACACGCTGTCACCGGCCATGGACATCCCACATCTTACAATCCTGCCTTACAAAGGATGCTGGTAACGGCGAAATCAGCAAACCTGGCAGCTTCGGATGCCGAGCTACGCCGCAGAGGCGGTGCTTGTAGTGAGCTTGTCAAGCTTGCCGGAAAGACTTTGCACCGTCATGTCCACACCTGGCACTTAAAACGCTCTTGTGCAATAGGGAAACATACCACAACCCCGTGAGTCGAGTGCCTTTGAATCAGTCTGGCCAGCTTTTTTGCTGACCTGCCAAGTCACGCAGACTCGTCATCTCGCATGGTCCGCTTTTTCCTCCTGCTCACCTCTTTAAGTCATCCTCTGAAGCGCAGCCTGCGTTTGCAGACCTCGGTTGCGAGTTGACAGTTGACGAGCGCACCCTTGGGCTGCAGGTCCGGCAAGCTGATTGTCGGTTGCGAGGTACTTGAAACAGGCAGTTTCATGAGGTTTCTGTTGTCGCGGAGCTGAACAGCCTCAAACGGCTGCTCGGCATCAGCGCATGTGTGTGTGTGTGTGCACCCTCAACATCTTGAAGTGGAAACCGAGCCATTGCGTAATATGAGCACCAGTTGTCCCAATGCCCAAGGCCCCACCCGCCAACAGTCCTATCCGGTGGCCTTGGCCTTCGGGCCGAAGTTTCAGATGGAGCAAAGGGGTGCGAAGAACGGCTGCTGCTGATGCACTGCAGATCCGAGCTCGCGGCAGCGTTATTGCGCCACTCGCACGGATCAAGGCCGTGACACGAGGGTTGAACAGACGTACCTGATCAAGCTTAGCAAGAGCAAACGCAGGGCTCCTGTGGTCGGAACCCACACAGCGCATTGCACGGAGCGATCCAATTACCATCTGGCGCACCGTGATGCTGCTGTGCTTGCGGGGATTGTACTCGGCATGACGGATCCCAAATGCGATCTCGGGCAGCAACGCAGCAAAGAGAGGCCTTCATCACAGCGCCTCTCAGTTCTCGCACCTGTTTCAAGTCCAGCTCGCAACGCGCATTGAACCTTATCGTGGGGCTATGATGCACGCTAGGCAGCCAAGTTGTGGCACGTTGACACCACGCTCCAGATTTGGATGCTCTATAATAACTCTACAACATGTCTATTGCTTGTCAAACTCCTATGACCATGGCGAATGGACTCCAATGGACTCCCGAAAACGAAGTATCTATGAGAAGTCTGCTAAAGCTCATGAAGTCCTGAGATGCAGACTTGCAGACATAGATGAAGGGCACAGGGAACACATCGGGCCTGATGTACGTGCGCAGCTGCACTGACCACACGAGAGCACGAAAGCATAAACGGTGGAATCCTGGGCGCGCGGGCGGCAGTTGTTCGTGCGGCTCCGGCAGGTCATGCCTGCAAAGACATGTGCGAGAGAAGGCGGGCCAGCCATGGCTCTCTCCAGAGTATCACCCCACTCCATCCCTCAGCGTGCGGCACAATCGCCAGCTCTTGTTGTTGATCCTGGAAAGACTGACTTTCAACTGCAATACTCGGTCAATTCCAAGACATGGCAGGCTTTGTCACATGGTGAGCAGCGCCCAATGCAGATTCTCTTTTCTTAACCAGGTTCACTCTGCTTGCGCTTCTCGAAGCTCGTTTCGCAAAGCCTTCCACGAAAACTCTGGCCAGCTGTGGTTGGACATCTTGTCGAGCACTCGGGCCTTGGGAAATCTTCTTCTTCGAGCCCGTTCAAGGTACCTCCAAGGCAAAAGAGGTACGAGTGGACAAGTACCCGTGGAAAAGGCTGTGGAAGTCTCTGCAAGGCACGGGTCCGCGATTCCAGCACGAACACAGGCTGCATTCAACCTCCACGGCTTTAGGGAGGTCGAGGTTGAGAAGCTCTGAGTCTCTCTGGGTCTCTGGCTGCTTCAACTCCGTAATTGAGAAGTTGGCCATGCGGCGTAAGGACTCACGAAGGATACGGTGCACCTCGGAGTGGATCCATGTCGCAGTCGACACGCTGTCTTTTTTCTTGTAGGTGGTTCCTCAGACAACCTACTGCTAGAACTGCGTTTCGGGCAACAACAAATGAATGCTTAAGCATGATGTCTCGGCACGAACCAGTTTGTGTTCAAACTGACTTCAACAAGTGCCTGCAAGTCGTCGTCGGGTACTTCTGGGAGACAGGTGAACCCAACATCCGACGTGATACCCGTCTCCACACTGCAGTCACCACCCGACGTCCAAATCCATGTCACAAATCGACTCGACACGTCTCAAAGTTAGCCTCGGCAATTCTAGAGCTATGCTGATGTACATCAGGCAACATCAGAATTCTCATGTGGATTGTCATCGTCATCGGTGTACCCGACGGGTCCAAATCTACGGACAAACACATGCCCGTGGGCACCTCACAAGCGCAGCCCACGGCTTTGCTAGAGTCGTCCCCGCATCTGGGAGACACATGAACCGAACATCCGGCTTGGCAGCGACTGAATGCACGCTACTCGCCGTCAAGCCACTCGTCACAACTCAATTCCACACAGGAGCTGAAACTTGCCTCGGCAATTCTAGAGCTATGTTGATGTACATCACGCAACATCAGAATTCTCATGTGGATTGTCATCGTCATCGGCTCAACCCGACGGGTCCAAATCTACGGACAAACACATGCCCGTGGGCACCACACAAGCGCAGCCCACGGCTTTGCTAGAGTCGTCCCCACATCTGGGAGACACATGAACCGAACATCCGGCTTGGCAGCGACTGAGTGCACGGTACTCGACGTCTCCACACTGCAGTCGCCGATCGCCACCCACAGTCTAAGCACACATCACAACTCAATTCCAGACTGAATCCAGCCTCGGCAATTCTAGAGCTATGCTGATGTACATCAGGCAACATCAGAATTCTCATGTGGATT